ATGCAATGGCAGAAAGTCTATGTCAAATTCAAAGGTGTTTGGTGATTATGTTGTTTTAAGTGAAAATCAATTAACAATTATTGCACACAGAGTTGGGTATCAATAGGATATTACAATCGCATGGTATTCAATTCTTGCTGAGTTGTCAAAAATTGAAGGGCTGAGGATGGCACATTGTCATGAGGTGGCCTACAAAATTGCAAGTGACAACATTGAGGTGGACATTTTCTTTAGCTTGCTTGTGGAAGAACGAGCTGTCTGGGTTGGTAATGTCCTTTGGCCTAATTTAGATGTTTATTAGGGTCATATGTAAAGGAACTGACTAGTTATTATACTGCTATATGAGTTTGTATTATTTCAGATGCACAGAAAAATTTTACTTGCTTTCATAATATCTTACAAACAATTGCAAGGGTCTACCAATGTCGACACGGAACACATGTGTCACTTGCCATGCTTGTACAATGTTATAGACTTGGCAAGGACATGTGAATTTTGGGTTGATAATTTGGGTAATGTATGGCGTAGTCATATTGTGTGATGAGTTGGCTTTATGGATGTATGATTATTGATAAATATTATGTTGTTTTGATGGTTTTCTATTTTTTATTTACCTAACTTATTTTCCTTGACATCAGTAATGGTTAGGAGATAATGATTCTATGTTGTGTTTGTTGGACAACAAACGGGTGTATATGACATGAAATGAGTGTCATATGAAAGTAAATCGGTACCCTAATGCATTATACAAGTCATATTACTTGTATAGCGAGGTTGAAAATGCAATGCGTATGTATTTGGAGCAACAAGATGGTGCACGAGAGGTGCAACCACTCAATGTGGTTGATGTCATTCCGGAGAAACTACTATTTGGAAATAAACTTTTGAAAGATACAATGGATTTTCCACTACAAGCACCTACACCATTTCATGAACGTGATGTCATGGCATGCCTAAAGTATGTTGTCGTGTTTCTTTTAGGTATGCTAGTGACCCATGTTATCTACTTTTTTTAGAAGAATAGGGTGAGAGGTCTGTTTCAAGTTCTTGTAATGAGTGTTTTGGTTTCTATTTATTATTAGGTCTCTTTGGTGTATGTAGTTATTGTACTTTTGATAATGTATGTCATTTTCTAACAGTTTGTTGGGTAATATGTTAATATTCGAATGTTATGATGCTAGTGAGGAATAAGGATTCTAGACATCAATAAGGACAAACCTGACCTAATGATAGACACTTTAATAGACTATAAGAAGCGAGGTAAATAACTTCACTCAGAAGGTATGATCATAAAATGGTAGATGGTTTGTTGACCATTTTGTGTAGGAGAATGCCACGGTTCAAGCTTTCGATCAGTCAGGTTTTGAGGATCATCCTTTTCTAGGAGCAACAATATTTCACACTTACTAAGATGCTAGACTCTAGGATGTTTGCATGGGATTCCCATAAGAAATATGTAGTGGGAGGATTTGTTACTAGTGTAGAGGAGTATTTGTAAGTGTTGTTTTTTTATTGCATTTAATTTTGATTTCAAAAATTTAACATTTGTCGTGTATATAATATGCTATGTATATTTACTAGTGAAATCCCTACCTGAAGGCACTGTACAGTGATCGAATGCCCTAATCAATCTATCTTGTTTTGTTATATCTTAACTTTGATTTTGTCAACTATCTCTTAAGTGAGTGAAGTGACCCATTGATATGGGGTACTCACTCTAACAAGGAGGGAGTTTCATCCCTCCATTCTTGACCTTAGGAAGGAATGGAGTAAGGGATTCCCTTCTAGTAAGGCAGTCATCCCGCCACTCTAACTTTAGGAAGGAATGGAGTAAAGGATGCCCTTCTAGAAAGTCTCTCATCTCGCAATTCCTGACGTTATCGAATGTTGATTGTGGAGACAAAAAAAATCAAGCATTGAACATAAAAATAAAAAAAGAACATGGACATTCATTATGCTTAAAAAGTAAATTATATCCTAAATATTCTCACTATGCATACATGCTCAACGTAGTATTTGTAAAGCCCTGGTAAATTTGATTTTTTGTGAAAAAGGGTAAAACGATAATTTGTCACTACGGCATGGGTTGAAAATTTGAATTTTTCTAGAACTCAGATAATGAAACGGACCTCACCGTTGGATTTGTCTCGCAAAATCTAGTTATCCAGTCAATTTTCATTGAATTCTGAGAAATTCAGATTTTTTACGTTTTACGAGGCGGTCGAGTGTCACTAAACTAAAAATGAGACATAGAATTAATTTTGAAAATTAGAAAATAATTTAAAAGAAGTTCATATAAAAATATTTTGAAATTGAATGGGGACGAAATTTAATCATTTTGGGACAAAATCAAACCTGGGAATGGAGGACGTGTGGCACGACTTGGGCCAAGAATTAAAGTTCCTCTACCCGACGAGGGCTATGAATACGTACAAAAAATTACAGATTTCATCAAACATTCATTGGCACTTTGGTAGCTACCTTTGCACAAGCTAGTGCCAATGTGAACCAAGGAGGCTCAAGTAACCTCCAAAAGTTCAAGACACACAAGTCTCTGACTTTTATGGGAGGAACGGATTCGATGGTGGCCAACCATTGGTTCTAGCAAGTTGACAACATCTTAGAGGCTATGGAGATCACCTCCGATGCCACTAGGATAAGGCTACATTCCAACTAAAAGTAGAAGCTCATTCGTGGTGGGATTAGGTAAAAGCCACGAAGAACTTAGAGGCGATGACATGGGGAGAGTTTTGAAAGCTCTTAATGGCAAGTAATTCCCATTGGCTGTTTGACACGTGAAAGCCCAAGAATTCTTGTATTTGAAGGAGGAGACTATGATGGGGATGAAATACGTGGTTAAGTTCACTGAGTTAGCCCGTTTCGCCGATGATCACGTGGACATGGACATGGCCAAAGTGAGGAGGTTTCAGGATGGATTGAATATTGTCCATTTGGGGGAAGATTATGGGTCACCACCAACAGGATTTAGAATCGATGGTCGAGAAGGTTATGACTATTGAGAGGGAGGTTGATGACACAAGGAGCATCTGGGAGGCGGGTGCTTAGGAAAAGAAGAAGGAGGGCCAATCCTTTTCTTCTAGTTCGAGGAAGAAGAAAAAGACATTTACCCCTAAAAGGTATCAAGGAAAGGGCCGCAGCTATCAAGGCCAAGGCCAAGGTCAATCCTACCAAGGCGAGAAAATTTTTAGGACTACCTACTAAGCAGGCCAGAGGACTTGTTACATATGCCACTAGCTGGGTCACATGAAGTAGGATTGTCTTTAGAGGTAAGGATCCCAAAGCTCTGGGGCATCCTAGTCCCAGGCATCGATGGGGCATACCCAAACTTATTTTATTCCTCCCTACCCCACCATAGGCCAGGGAAGCCAATATCAGTTCCAAGGTGCTACATAGGCGCTTACTACTTTACGTGCGGGGACTCCGCAATATGGCCAGATGGGCCAGGGCATGGGCCGAGGTCGAGGACAGGGCTCATAGGTTGGGACTTCGGAGACCTAGGGGCGAGTCTACGCCATCACTCCTCAGATTGATCTAGTGGATCAGTTGGTTATTTAGGGTACATTTCTATGCTCTCACTTATAGGTAAGGATATTATTTGACTATGGTGCATCGCATTCATTTATCTNGAACATCGTGCTACATGCTATGATTCATGTTTGTATTTACCCACATTTAAAATTTTTTCCAATTAATGGTTACATAAGAGAGAATATGTATGTAGAAGATTTCCTTATTTTTATTTTTCAGTTCATTTTTTTGTTTTGACTTTTCTTTGTTGCACCTCAAATGGATAGGCGTTGTAGTGAGAAAATGTCCACCTCTGTTGATGACATCGTTGGGTTGCTTATTGAGTTCCGATAGGACAAGGCAAGAGAAGATAATTATTTTCTATATGATTGTTGTCATAATATTATTGCTGTGGGAATTGAAGATGAGTCAAAACCACAACTGTCAAGGTCACTTTCAAGTTGAACACTTGCACTGTTTGATTGCTGAAAGTGACATAAATTGCATCAACCAACTTAGGATGGATATACACGCTTTTCGTGTTCTATGTAATTTAGTTCAAGATGTTGGGGGTTTGAATCGGACAAAATATGTAAGTATTGAGGAAATGCTTGCAATGTTCTAAAACATTTTGGGACATGATGAGAAGAATCGACTAGTGAATTTTAATGTCCTAAGATCCATCGAAATAGTTTGCAAGAATTTCAATGCCGTTCTAAAGGATGTTATTAAATTGCATGGTTTATTGTTGTAGAGACCTGAACCAGTTGCTGCTGACTCCACAGATAATTAATGGAAGTGATTTAAGGTAATATTTAGGCTCAATGTGCTTCCCCGTTGATAAATTGACTAAGTATTGACAAATGAACTTTTTTTTTTTTTTTACTTTTAAGAATTGTGTAGGTGTGTTAGATGGCACACACATTAAAACTAGGGTACCTCTAATGCACCACACAAGGTATATGAGTAGGCATGAGGACATTTCTACTAATGCCCTTGGCGTGTGCTCTCAAGACATGAAATTCATTTAAATGTTTCTTAATTGGGAAGGGTCTGCAATTGATTCTAGGATATTACATGATACAGTATTGATGAGAAATGGATTGAAAGTAGCCTGTGGTAAGTGGTATTTCACCACTATAGACCTCTTTAAGTTAATGTATGACTTCAATTCAAATAGGCGAGCTTCTTCTGAATTCTACCTTTGTAATTTTTGCACAAGCAACTACTATCTAGGGGATGTCGATTACACAAATGTTCAAGGGTTCTTAGCTCCATATAGGGGCTAAAAAGTTGATGTTTATAGCGATGACATATGGGTGGAATATCTAAAAGTGATACTTTTACCAAACATCCATTAATAAGTTGTCAACTTGTGTAAAATGTATATATTGGTCATTTCATAATTAAAACTAAACTGTAAAAAGACAACAATGAAAAGGAAATGTGTGGTAAATCATTGCCTTACTTTGATGACTGGGATGATATTTGGCAAAGATAGGGCAACTAGTAAGAATGTGCAGGGTCTTGAGGAGTTGGTCGATGATAGTTCATATGCATGTGATCCCTCTGTTGAAGACAACATCGTGCCAATGCACACCAACATGAGGATGGATGATGCTAGAGGCTCACAAAGTGTAACACTAAGCAACATTGACGATGTCAATGTGACTCCGCAAACTTGGAATCCAAAAAAAAAAAGCATAGTGCTTTGAGCGATGCAATGGCAGAAAGTCTATGTCAAATTCAAAGGTGTTTGGTGATTATGTTGTTTTAAGTGAAAATCAATTAACAATTATTGCACACAGAGTTGGGTATCAATAGGATATTACAATCGCATGGTATTCAATTCTTGCTGAGTTGTCAAAAATTGAAGGGCTGAGGATGGCACATTGTCATGAGGTGGCCTACAAAATTGCAAGTGACAACATTGAGGTGGACATTTTCTTTAGCTTGCTTGTGGAAGAACGAGCTGTCTGGGTTGGTAATGTCCTTTGGCCTAATTTAGATGTTTATTAGGGTCATATGTAAAGGAACTGACTAGTTATTATACTGCTATATGAGTTTGTATTATTTCAGATGCACAGAAAAATTTTACTTGCTTTCATAATATCTTACAAACAATTGCAAGGGTCTACCAATGTCGACACGGAACACATGTGTCACTTGCCATGCTTGTACAATGTTATAGACTTGGCAAGGACATGTGAATTTTGGGTTGATAATTTGGGTAATGTATGGCGTAGTCATATTGTGTGATGAGTTGGCTTTATGGATGTATGATTATTGATAAATATTATGTTGTTTTGATGGTTTTCTATTTTTTATTTACCTAACTTATTTTCCTTGACATCAGTAATGGTTAGGAGATAATGATTCTATGTTGTGTTTGTTGGACAACAAACGGGTGTATATGACATGAAATGAGTGTCATATGAAAGTAAATCGGTACCCTAATGCATTATACAAGTCATATTACTTGTATAGCGAGGTTGAAAATGCAATGCGTATGTATTTGGAGCAACAAGATGGTGCACGAGAGGTGCAACCACTCAATGTGGTTGATGTCATTCCGGAGAAACTACTATTTGGAAATAAACTTTTGAAAGATACAATGGATTTTCCACTACAAGCACCTACACCATTTCATGAACGTGATGTCATGGCATGCCTAAAGTATGTTGTCGTGTTTCTTTTAGGTATGCTAGTGACCCATGTTATCTACTTTTTTTAGAAGAATAGGGTGAGAGGTCTGTTTCAAGTTCTTGTAATGAGTGTTTTGGTTTCTATTTATTATTAGGTCTCTTTGGTGTATGTAGTTATTGTACTTTTGATAATGTATGTCATTTTCTAACAGTTTGTTGGGTAATATGTTAATATTCGAATGTTATGATGCTAGTGAGGAATAAGGATTCTAGACATCAATAAGGACAAACCTGACCTAATGATAGACACTTTAATAGACTATAAGAAGCGAGGTAAATAACTTCACTCAGAAGGTATGATCATAAAATGGTAGATGGTTTGTTGACCATTTTGTGTAGGAGAATGCCACGGTTCAAGCTTTCGATCAGTCAGGTTTTGAGGATCATCCTTTTCTAGGAGCAACAATATTTCACACTTACTAAGATGCTAGACTCTAGGATGTTTGCATGGGATTCCCATAAGAAATATGTAGTGGGAGGATTTGTTACTAGTGTAGAGGAGTATTTGTAAGTGTTGTTTTTTTATTGCATTTAATTTTGATTTCAAAAATTTAACATTTGTCGTGTGTATAATATGTTATGTATATTTACTAGTGAAATCCCTACCTGAAGGCACTGTACAGTGATCGAATGCCCTAATCAATCTATCTTGTTTTGTTATATCTTAACTTTGATTTTGTCAACTATCTCTTAAGTGAGTGAAGTGACCCATTGATATGGGGTACTCACTCTAACAAGGAGGGAGTTTCATCCCTCCATTCTTGACCTTAGGAAGGAATGGAGTAAGGGATTCCCTTCTAGTAAGGCAGTCATCCCGCCATTCTAACTTTAGGAAGGAATGGAGTAAAGGATGCCCTTCTAGAAAGTCTCTCATCTCGCAATTCCTGACGTTATCGAATGTTGATTGTGGAGACAAAAAAAATCAAGCATTGAACATAAAAATAAAAAAAGAACATGGACATTCATTATGCTTAAAAAGTAAATTATATCCTAAATATTCTCACTATGCATACATGCTCAACGTAGTATTTGTAAAGCCCTGGTAAATTTGATTTTTTGTGAAAAAGGGTAAAACGATAATTTGTCACTAAGGCATGGGTTGAAAATCTGAATTTTTCTAGAACTCAGATAATGAAACGGACCTCACCGTTGGATTTGTCTCGCAAAATCTAGTTATCCAGTCAATTTTCATTGAATTCTGAGAAATTCAGATTTTTTACGTTTTACGAGGCGGTCGAGTGTCACTAAACTAAAAATGAGACATAGAATTAATTTTGAAAATTAGAAAATAATTTAAAAGAAGTTCATATAAAAATATTTTGAAATTGAATGGGGACGAAATTTAATCGTTTTGGGACAAAATCAAACCTGGGAATGGAGGACGTGTGGCACGACTTGGGCCAAGAATTAAAGTTCCTCTACCTGACGAGGGCTATGAATACGTACAAAAAATTACAGATTTCATCAAACATTCATTGGCACTTTGGTAGCTACCTTTGCACAAGCTAGTGCCAATGTGAACCAAGGAGGCTCAAGTAACCTCCAAAAGTTCAAGACACACAAGTCTCTGACTTTTATGGGAGGAACGGATTCGATGGTGGCCAACCATTGGTTCTAGCAAGTTGACAACATCTTAGAGGCTATGGAGATCACCTCCGATGCCACTAGGATAAGGCTACATTCCAACTAAAAGTAGAAGCTCATTTGTGGTGGGATTAGGTAAAAGCCACGAAGAACTTAGAGGCGATGACATGGGGAGAGTTTTGAAAGCTCTTAATGGCAAGTAATTCCCATTGGCTGTTTGACACGTGAAAGCCCAAGAATTCTTGTATTTGAAGGAGGAGACTATGATGGGGATGAAATACGTGGTTAAGTTCACTGAGTTAGCCCGTTTCGCCGATGATCACGTGGACATGGACATGGCCAAAGTGAGGAGGTTTCAGGATGGATTGAATATTGTCCATTTGGGGGAAGATTGTGGGTCACCACCAACAGGATTTAGAATCGATGGTCGAGAAGGTTATGACTATTGAGAGGGAGGTTGATGACACAAGGAGCATCTGGGAGGCGGGTGCTTAGGAAAAGAAGAAGGAGGGCCAATCCTTTTCTTCTAGTTCGAGGAAGAAGAAAAAGACATTTACCCCTAAAAGGTATCAAGGAAAGGGCCGCAGCTATCAAGGCCAAGGCCAAGGTCAATCCTACCAAGGCGAGAAAATTTTTAGGACTACCTACTAAGCAGGCCAGAGGACTTGTTACATATGCCACTAGCTGGGTCACATGAAGTAGGATTGTCTTTAGAGGTAAGGATCCCAAAGCTCTGGGGCATCCTAGTCCCAGGCATCGATGGGGCATACCCAAACTTATTTTATTCCTCCCTACCCCACCATAGGCCAGGGAAGCCAATATCAGTTCCAAGGTGCTACATAGGCGCTTACTACTTTACGTGCGGGGACTCCGCAATATGGCCAGATGGGCCAGGGCATGGGCCGAGGTCGAGGACAGGGCTCATAGGTTGGGACTTCGGAGACCTAGGGGCGAGTCTACGCCATCACTCCTCAGATTGATCTAGTGGATCAGTTGGTTATTTAGGGTACATTTCTATGCTCTCACTTATAGGTAAGGATATTATTTGACTATGGTGCATCGCATTCATTTATCTCTATATCATGTGTCAGGGATTTTGGCTTAGAGGTTAAGACCTTGGAAGAGCCATTACATGTGAGTTCTCCCCTAGGGTGAGTATTGATCAGATATGTCTGGGTTGTGAGTTAGAGATCTCACAGATTGTACTCATCGTGGACCTTAGGGACATGGACATGTCGGAGTTTGATTTCATCATTCGGATGGATTAGTTGACGGCACACCAAGTTGTCATCGATGGTGATCGGAAGAGGGTCACTGCCTACACACTTGAGGGTGTTTGTTTTGAATTTTAAGGGAAGAAACATGATGTTTTACCCCAAGTAGTGTATGATTTCCGTTGGCAAGGGCATTTGATGGGTTAGCTAGCAAGCATTACCTTAGAGGACAAGGTGAGACAGGAGTTAGCTCTACCTCGAATGGTTTGTGAGTTTGAGGACATTTTTTTGGACAAATTACCGATATTACCTCCACATAGGAATGCAAACTTCACCATTGAGTTGCACCACGGTACACCGCTCATTTCTATGACTCCTCATAATGGCACCTGCAGAGTTGTAATAACTCAAGGTCCAATTACAAGAATTAATGGACAAGGGCTTCATTAGATTGAGTACCTCACCTTAGGGAGCTCTGGTGTTGTTTGCCAAGAAGAAGGATAAGATCCTTAGGCTATCTTGTCCCTCAGATGGATTGGTGAAGGCAATTTGTTACCAAACCAAAGGCCATCACACACCTCTTTTAGAACCACCATCACTTAGCACCTCCTCTAACCATAAGAAATAGGTCCAAGCTAGCACAACAAAGATCAAAATCATCCACCAAGGTAGAATAATATCCAAAATTGGTATTTCCCTTCCCAAGTTGAAATTGCTTAAAAACTAAAACAACAAAAAGTTGAACAAATAGAGATATTTGCAAATCTCTTTTGTCAATTTCCTCACGACAATCATCCAAGAGATCGAAGAAAAATCCAAAGAAACTAAAAATAGTAAGATTGTGGAAGTGACTACAAAAACTCTTCTAGTGTTTTTTATCTGGACCCTCTTTTTAGCACCATATTGCCATCAAATTAAAATGTTTACCCTACAATTATCAAAATTTAGAACCCAAAATTATTACATTAATGAAATCAAAATCCAATGATGGGTGACTGTTTCCTGTAATGATTGTCCATAAATTGCATCAATTATAACTGGCGCACACGACCTTGACAACAACAAAAAAGGAAACTTATAAAAAGAAGGAAAAAAAAAAGAAAATATGAGCAAAGCAAAAAACAACAAATGAACCAAATTTCTTTTTTGGAAAGCACGTATACT